TCTTATGATTGCCGTCAAAGTCAGACAAGGAGCGTTTAGATTTACGCTTTGTGCTCGCAGCTGCGACAACGTTGTCCCAGTAGTCGTTCTTGTTGGAAAAGTCTATCCTCATCTGGGTATCACCAGAATCGCGAGGAACGCGCCTGAAGTTGTAGTCGAAGGTCAGATCATAGACCATTGGCATATGTGACGCTCGCTTCCGAAGATGGTGCGGAATCGTTTGATTGACAGCAGGGACCATGTGTTTCGCGACGGCATAGCGGCCGGCTCCACAGCCAGCTGGCATTTCCAGGATGGTACCGGGTACGCCGTGTCCAAGTCCGATGTTTTGACAATTGTTGTTCTCTGAGCCGTCAATGCAAAACATCTGGATGGTTTGTTCTTCTTCACTCGGCCCGCCTTGGCAGTTGAATAGTTCCCAATGAGAGCCATCGCGTTTATCGAGAGAATGTTGCAGTTCTTTAGGCGATGCAAGCACGACGAATTGAAATGCAGCATTGGAAGGGTCATCGTCGGTCTTGTCGCCCTGTCCACCAAAGGTGTCGTCTACATTGAGCTCAAAGTCCGTATCGACGTCGTCCCCAGTCGGGGGATCGCTGAATAGCCGATCGAGTGGTACTGGAAGGAATAGCTGTTTACCATCGGTTGGGTCGCAGCAGTAGACTCTGTTTCTTTCCAGTCGAGGGAAGCAGGATTGCCCAAAACCATACGGGCTGTCCGTGAGTTGCACTTGCTTTCCGACCGGGCAATGGTTGTCGAAGCAAGATCCGGGCTCTCCGTACCACCGGCAGTTCTTCCAGTTCTTGGCGTCTTTCTTTGGGCAGCAGTATCGTTTCTGCATGTCGACGTCAATCGCTTCGAGCCAATCAACCAGAGCATTATCGATCAAAGTCATCGCGTCTGCAATGTCGGCAATAGTGCTTAGAAATGTGCCTGAAAAGGTCATCGTCGTGTCGTCGCCGTTGCAATCCTTGCCGACGCCTGCCCAGTAACAGTCATGACCCTTAGCCGCAGGTGACTCGCAGCAATATGCTTTGTTTCCGTCTTCACAGTATTTCCCATCACCCCACTTGTTCATCTGCAACAGTACCTCATTGTCATGGCAGCGGCCATTACATGGAGGTGCTTCGCCGCGCCAGTGGCACTTGTCGGGATCTGGTGCACTGGAAACTGGACAGCACAGCTGGCTGTCCTCGCCTTTGGACCTGCGCGTGACAGGCTTCGCGCCACCGCATGGTTGCTGTTCGATTTTGAAGAAACCAGCCTTACAAGTACCGCCACAGTCAGTGACATAGCAATCAGGTACGGTCGCATCGTCCCAAAAGGAAGCGTCATCGGCAGTCATCGCGAGGGCTTTGACAGATTTTGGAGACACGACGGCGTTGAGAGCGTCCAAATCATCCGTGTCTTGATCAATGGCCCAGATGAGTAGTCCGCCGAGGCCTAGCTTATTCGCAAAGTCGATCTTCGCCTTGAATGTGTCTTTGTCATCATACGACACCCATTGGTCTTGGTTCCAGGTGATGTACTTGACTTGAGCCTCCTTGTCTAAAAGCACAAAAAGCGGTTAGCCTATCTATCACATGTGCTGGTTTCGTCGTGGCTGCTTACCATAGTAAGGACTGATCTTGTGCTGTTTGATCACTTGTTGAATCTCTTTGTATGTCAAAGTTCCTGAGTTGTCGGAACAGGGACCAGGAGATGCTCCGCCCTTGAAATTGCAGCCAGGTCGGTAGCAAGAGGGGTCTGATAACTGGAAACTGCGACCATAGAACCCCAGCCCGAGATTGAGCTTCTCTGGTTTGATGTCGTTGCGCCAGAAAAGATCCAAGGCTAACTTGATCTCGGTCAAGTTCGAATGCCCATATATATGATTGCCGATCGGGTTCGTTGAGTCCCAGATCTAGACACATATGTTAGCATTTGCTCGAAATAAGATGTTCACATGATCGCTGCATCCGAAACCCAGACCAGCTTACAAGCAGCTTGTGGGAAGGGCAATTCCGCAAAGGTGTTTCACCTCTTCAGCTCGGTGCCTGACCTTCCGACATGCACGAGTGCAGAAGTGGGAGGCAAATATTTGGCTTGACTTACCCCATGAAGATCATAGCTCATGACGTTGACGAAGTCGACGTAATCCACAGCTTTCAGATCGAAATGCCTCAGATACCAGAAGCTAGTAGGAACAGTGAAGGAGACAACATAATGCATGAGCTGCTTGTCGTTCTCCTCGTTAAGTTCCTTCAAGAACGTAACAAAGTTCTTGCCGTCTTCAGGCTTACCCCCTCGATCGGTTGCTCCAGGATACTCCCAGTCGAAGTCTACACCGTCAAAGGCGTACTGTCTCATAAAAGCGAATAACTTTTTGATGAACAAGGCGCGGTTCGCAGCGGTGCTGACCATGTCGCTGAAGACCGGCTGAGTTGCGGTGCCGTTATCGTTGAAGGTCCAACCGCCAAGAGCAATGACTGTTTTCAAGCCGGGGTTCGACTTCTTGACATCTGTGAACTGCGAGAATAGATCGGGGCTAAGGTCGTCCATCGGAACCAGATCAAAAGTGCCGGGCGAGATGTAACCGAAGGAAAAGTAGAGATGAGTCAAGGCGCCTGTTGGGATATTCTTGAAGTCCTGCGAATGAAGTGAGTATGTTGCACTCGCTCTTGGCTGGTCTGACGTACCATGCCTTGACATTTCCTGTCATGTGCCCAAGCTTCATAATAACCGATCACTATCTTCTGAACATCGCCGCCAGAGCCACCAGAGCCTGGCTGCTCACAGTTGCTCTGGCATTTTGGTTCGTCTTCGGTACCTTTGTCGCAAAACTTCTCGGTCATGCCGCAAAAGCTGTGGGGCGTTAGATGGTATCATTGAAAATCTTTTGACCAGCATACCCAAATTCTGAACAACAGACATTGAGTGGACATTTGGCACCAGGTATCTTAGCGTCTTTGCCACACTCTGCTTTGGCATCGCAATTTGACCAGCAAACATCGTTGGGACTTTGACCGTTTGTGCCGCAATATTCTTCACCATAGTTACAATATCCGGTAGCCTTTGGGCAGCAGGCTCCGTTCTTGCATGGCTTAGACTCAGAGCATGAGTAGTCTTCTTCAGCTCTTGGCTGTAGAGCTCGTGGGGCCAGATGCGGACAAACAGGCGCACGTTCCGTATGCTTTTCTTTGGCAGAATAGTCGAACGGACTGGACTCAAGTCAGCTACGAATGTACCGCATCTAACAGCGTTCGTCTACATACTGAGTTGGATTGACGCAAGTTGGTGGCGCGTGAGATCTCTTGTGGTGAAATCGAGCGTGCGACTGATGCGCTGTAGCAGTGATGAGCAGCACACAGAAGACAACGGCCCACCGTGCGAACGCGGAAGTCAATCTTGACATCTCGGCGTCTGATTCCACTGAAAGCAGTAGGAAAGAAACCAAGATCAAGGACTGGAAAAGAGCGATCTCAGAAGCTCCGTGGGAAAATGGACTCTGTCTATCTTACCGGTACCCACAGCTCAGGTACGTTGGCATCAAGGTTTCCATCTGGACCTGCCGTGGATCCAATGGACGCCTGAATATCAGCGGTCATCGTGGCGGCGAGTAGTAGGCGTGCAATTCGCGCCCCTGCATGCATGGCCTGGCCAACGGACTGGAATTTCCAGATTTGTACTGGCAGAGATGCCGCGGGGAGTTTACCATGCGGCCCAGATATGACATCCCATCTAAATTTGCACTCTACTGCATTGGCGCCTTCGGGGTCGCTCGCTAAGACATCAAGAAATGATATCAGCTTTTACTTAGGCATTACCTAAGTAGGAAGGACATAAGTCACGCTGACTGGGTGTCAGTTGCCGTCCGGCGGTCTCGACTGCAATGTTTAGTGAGCTATCATGCCCAGGTGTCTTCAGGTACTTCCGTTATGGGAGCAGTTTTCAGCGCGCAGTGCTGAAACGTAGAGGCCGTTCCCAGCGCCGGACGACCTCGGAAGTCTGTCCTTTTTGCCACGAAAGTGCCGCTCAGGTCAGAATTGCCCAGGGCTGAAGCGCGGTCGTACTATCAAAGCAACCTTGGAACCATGACAACCTTGAGGCGGAGAGGAAAATTGAAGCAGTGGAGATGACAAGGACATAACCCCTAAACTAATGCTGAACGTCTGCCGGGCGTAAATATTTGGCACCTTACTGCAGGTGATCTTCCGGCTCCGAGTGGTGCCAAGCTTCATAGTTCGTGCTTGGCATCAGGCCTTCCGTCCGGATTCGGGCCGCGCCCGCCGCATCTTCAGAACCCGCTTTTTAGCCTGTTACTGAACTGATTTGGGGTCTAACATGTTGCCAATACTCCGCGAGACTTACACGACCCACATCGGCGCCAGATGGATGATGAGAATGGACCCTTGGGATGCAGGTGCCGAGCGATTAGGTGCCCCATGCAGTGCGGCTGGCTGTACATGCTTTCTTGCCTCGGTGTAGAATGCAGTTGAAGCATCCTGCATCGTCGCTCTTGGTTGCAGTCATTCCTGTGAGTACGTCTTTCGTGGACCGTCGCAGACCTCCCACAGGGCGATACTGACTCTTACACAAGAATGCGTTCGCATAGTCCCAGAATGTTGCTGCGGCTTTTGCTACCCCTTTGGTATCTCCCATCGACAATTGCGATACCCTTCTTCAGTAACAATACTATCCCATCCAATCTGACCAGTGATTGTGCGACGGCCCTTCTTACAGACGTTGAACAATGTCCTCCTACCGTTGCTACCTTTGCTATTGGATATTACTACCCCCCCTCCGTGCTGGAAAAAGCATGCACAACCGCCTGCGTTACTGCCCTTGAGCAATACGAAGCAAGCATTGCCACAGCTTGTACCGGGCAAACTTGGACGGCATACGATGAGATTGACGGTGCACCACTGGACATAATTGCCAATGTTATGCGATTCAACCACGATCTTGTTTGCCTCAAGGACGCGGGTCGCTGGTGTAATGTAGTTGCGGTTGCTGCAGCCATGCAAGCAGATCCAGGACGTAGGTAAACCGATACTCCAATCCCAACATTATGCTAACCAGAACAGAGAGCCCAATAGGCTGGGACACCGAGCCACCAAGCGGCGTGCAAGCCTCCGGACCCTGCGATTTGTGTTTCATCAAAAATCTGCAGAAGCAGGCTGGCAGTCCGTACTACGACGGACCTCAGATTCGAGAGAGTTCCTTGTATGAGTCAAAGACATCAAGCTGTGGTGTGACGGGCTACCCATTGTCTATCTCGTCTTTGCCCTTCCCGCAGTGAGCATACATATATATATGTTCGCAGCTCCACACTAACTCTTTACAGGCTTCCAGTCGCTAGTCCCACACCGACATCGACGGTCTGCAGTGGCAAAGAATACGATATCCAGACCGGCGATGACTGCTACAAGATATCCAAGTCTCAAAGCATAGGGACTGCCTGGCTGCTTTCAGACAATTCTCTCACTGCCTACTGCGCCAATTTTCCACAAAATGGGAAACTGTGCATCAATAACACGTGCAAAGTCTATACAGTACAGCCTGCCGATACCTGCGAGATCATGGCTAGCTCCAATAATATCACCATCGCGCAGTTGAAGGCCTGGAATCCGGTAGGTGCACAGTGCGCAGATCTCGCTTCTTTACCATTATTCTGACACTCTCAGATTATTAACGCTGGCTGTCATAACTTATACAAGATGAACGGGACTTCTATTTGCGTGTCCAATCCTGGCGTAGCATATGTCACGCCCCCAGCTATGCCTCCTCTGGCACCAAGCACAGCCGTCAGCGCAGCACCCGTGCCTAGCAATGCGAAGGACGAATCGAACCGACAATGTGGGCAGTGGTACAATGTTGAGGGCGGAGACTATTGCAACCTCGTGACACTGAGGTATGCGATAGCACTGGCTGATTTCGTATTCCTGAACCCATCCATCAACGCGAATTGCACCAATCTGCTGCTGGATATCAGCTATTGTGTAGCGCCAGTAGGAGACAGTGAGTATACTGATACGCTAGATGATCGAAGTTTGCGGCTGACCAACTGAAGTTAACACCTACTCTGGACGACCTGGCTACCATACTCCCGGTCCTTCGGGAGTACCATGTAAGTACTTCACTTTGCACTTTGTGCGTCGCATATTGATTGTGACTCTCCAGTTACCAAAGTCACGTTTACGCCCACTAAGCCCGCTACGACAACACCCTCGCCCACGCAGCTGAGCCTTGCGCTTGATACAAGAGACGATTGTTACCAGTATTTCGACGCATCACAGATGGAAAGCGACATAACAGGAACTCTTTATCGTCATCAATGCGATTTGGCTGCAGATGTCTACGGTGTTGAGGTGTCCGAACTGCTCACCTGGAACCCTTCACTCGGTAACGACACCGAGGCGCCTACCTGCAGCTTCGAGCCTGGAGTCCGCTATTGTGGAAGGTTCTACTTCGAGCCGCCAAAGGCCGAGCCCGAAGTAGGCCCATCGCTGGAATTTCCGATCAGAGAAGGGTATGATACGAACTGCACTGAGTTCAGGGACGTGTCTAAGGATTTCACTTGCGAGGATGTTCTGGCTTTGTTCGATCTCACCCTGGCTCAATTCTTCAAGATGAATCCGGCTGTAGGCTCAACGTGTGCGAATCTTTGGACCGAAACGGCATATTGCGTCAAGTCGCCCAATGCTCCACCGCCCGCTACGAGCGTTACTTCGACCTCAGTTGCCCCAAGCAGTACAGTTCCACCGGGACCTGGGGCACCAACGCACACTGGACAGCCTGCAAACTGTGTTCGATGGCACATCGTCGAGAAAGGTGATGATTGCTCGATTCTCGCAAACAAATACTTCATCACCTTGGAGCAATTTTATGCCTGGAATCCCGCCGTGTCGAATGATTGCCGCGACAACTTCTGGCAGGGGTCGGCATACTGTGTGGGCACTTCGGATTCGATCAGCGTGAGCAGATCGGCTCCCCCGCCGTCGCCTACTCCCAGTCCTTTCGTCATACCAACGCCAAATCAAGCAAACAACGCGATCAAAGAATGCAACAAGGCTGCTCAGGCGCAGGAAGGAGACTGGTGTGCTGTAAGTCCACGATATCCGGTTCTGCGTCGCTTCTAGACTGACTCTTATCATAGCTGTTTGCTGAACGAAACGGAATCACCGACGCGCAACTATATGCGTGGAATGCAGCCTTGGATAATGGCAATGCTTGTGGCACTTCTTTTTGGAAGGATTACTGGTACTGTGTCGGTGTAGCCGAATGAACAAACACGTACAAAAGCGACATGCTACACCCGTCTCTTGTAATGTTGTTCCTGCGGCAACATTTAGCTATCTGCGCAGACAACGCGCTTCTTGGTAGCCAGAGGTCATACCTCATTACGCCTTCCCTATATACTGGAAGTGCTGGTGCCGCAACTGAAGCCTCCCTTTTCCATATTTTGATTTGCTCGGAAAGTTGAAAATGACGGTGTTGTGCTGGTGTCAGACGATTCTCGTCGGCCATCGCTTGTTCAGAAATAACTATCGCACTGGACTGTTGTATATGAAGCCTCGTCTTCTTGACTTGGAATGCATGTACCCTGTGACTATCTTTGGAGACCTACACGTTAGCATCTTTGGAAACACCCGCCGGGCTTGCGCAACAAGATCTTGCATCAGCATAGCTTGGTGTGATTCCGCTGCAGCGAACGGGCAGACCATTAGTCTGTTCCAAGGTTTACCTAGGTAGAACCCCTGCTAGCGCCTCGGTACTCCCGCGTAGTTATGTACTCAACAGCGTTCCCGCAACAATGGTGCGCTCTCTCCCCTACCCCATTCACGCCATGGACAAACTACCACAAGAGCTGATCAACCGTATTGTGTGTTTTGCAGAGCGGTATCCAGACCAGGAACAGCTGGCTTCCGCGATAGGACAATCTTTCGAGCCCGATGGTTCGCCATCTCAATTTCCTCGCCTCGCGATCCTCAATCGCACTTGGAAGGAAGCAGTCGAGACCATTACATTTCACCGTCTAGGCATCAAAAGCGATGAGCTGGAATCGCTTCAGTCCATCGTAACAGGAAATCGCCGCAACTATCTTTCCTGGATCAGTTTCGAAGCGGAATTGCCAACATATTCGGAAGAAGCATACGAACACAAGGAATCACGACTTGATCAACATACCAACAACGAGGCATTTACAAAAGCTATAAAAGAACTTTTCACCGTGCTGCGAACCTGGGAAGACAACGGTGTGAAGAATGGAGTGCGGCTTACCATCGTGGGGGCCACGTCCCCGACCGACGCCCGGGAAGTGGATGAGTTCGAGATTGAGCATGGTCTGAGCAGAGATATTCAATCCGCTCGTTGGGCAGAATCGTACCTGCGCCTTGTTGAACCCGACAATCTACCTACATTGTCTAATCTGCAGCACCTCACTATCGAGCGCACCGGCGTGCGAAGCCTTGCACCAAGCGTTGCACCAGATTTAGCAGTGGCAATGCCAGAGCTCAGGACAGTGGACTGGGAGTTTCCAGACTACGACGCTGGTTCTGACGCGGGGTCGGATCAGGACTCGTTGGATTCAGACTATGATCCAGAGTGGGAACCGGCGACATCTCCCAAGGCGCGCGGTGAGGCGCGCGCTGAATTTGCTAATAAGCTCTCGCCGACACATTTCCGCTCACTCCATTCTGCCAACATTGTCTTTGTACACTGCACTCCTTTAGATCAGAGGTATACAGTTCCGAGCATTGTGCCAGAAGGCTACACATACGACCCGTTCAGTTCATCAATCCGAACCCTCTCACAATGTCTTACAACCCTTACCCTGAGCGCGCACGTCGACCCCACGCTATTCTGGCCATCAGACGAAAACGCGACGCCACCGTCTTGGCCACACTTGAAGTCCTTCGACATCACGTTTGACATGGTCGCTCCATCAGGCAAATGGTACTTCACTGGTCCAACACCGGCCGACGACCCCCACGACGACCCCGTGCGCGGCATTGTCGGGAGTGTCGATACGCGCGAGTTCAGCTGGCATGACTTCCGGCAGCACCCCGACCCAGAAACCTTTGATCCTTTTCTCGGCGCGCTCGCAAAAGCCGTTGATTGCATGCCTGTTCTTGAGTCCTTCATGCTTACGTCTGAGATGACGGGTAAGACGGGGAGACTGCACATTTCATATCACGCGCCGGGCCAGAAAGCGGAGTGGGGTGATGAAGGACCGGAGGATGAACAGTACAGGAGGATTTACTACGCGTGTGAGACGGGAGTATGGGTACCAGAGCCAAAGACCTCTGAAGGGCTGAAACGCGCAGGAATGCAAAAGTATGGCGGGGAGGTTGTCGAGCGATACGTGGGCAGTCAGTACTATTGAAAGGGATTAGGTTGAATGCGCACGAAAGAACATACGCACCCCATCCAAGAGAAGAGCTGTACACCCATGTCTACCAAGACCAATCATTGAGAACGCTAAGAAAGTCACATTGCTTGACAGCCTACACAGTCGAGTTCTTGTAGCAATGTAGACTTCAGAGTGCCTGTTCAGTTTGTCCCTTCTGAGGGTTGAACGTCTAGACGTGGTCACGGATTTGCTTCATGTGTTTGTGGAGGTCGCCAAGTACATATTGCATTTTCTTTCCCACTCCTTCACATACGACCATAGGACACTGAGAATTAGGCTTCCCGTCCGCTCAGCCATATACAAGCAGTGTACCGGCGGATTAGTAGTTAGGTGGGTGACCACTAGCGAATCCCCGCTGTTGTATGTTTTTGCCCTCTTTTTGCCCTAGATCTGAAATGGCGACTCTCGAACTCACAGCTCTCTTTTTGCTCGAATGTGGTACGCGGGCGTGTAGTGCGGAACATCACGGTCGGTCAAAGCACACTAATGGAGTTGCGAGTCGAATAAGCTGCGCAGTTGATATGAGTTTCTTGTGTACTCTATGATACATTTTAACTAAGGTTGTGACAAAGTCCTAACGGTGTGTATGTAGGGCTCGTTTTAACTACATACGTAGATAGCGCTGTAGGCTGCAGCAAATATGGCAGTAGTGAACAGCTTTGTTGCGATATATGCCCAAACCAAACGTTGTTTGTTATTGAGGTCGACGTACGCTCGGGCGGCATGTCGTCGCTGTATAGTCGTGGGTTTGGAGACCTCTACCGTCACGTCCGCACCACCAACGCGCGGGTGTCGTGGAATCGCTAGCTCGGGCTAGAGAAGCAGCTGTCTCAGCTTGGGAGTTTGTGTGGCTATCCATAGAGTAGCTCTTGCTGCATGTGTCCTCAAGTCTCTCCCTTCTTCTCTCCCTGCGCATCGAAGCCGAGGCCCTCTAGTTGGCGTATGAGCTCGTTGATCTTGATGACCTTCTCGAACTGCTCCGGTAGCAGCTTGTCGCCCTTGTCCTTCTTGTCCTTTAAATCCCTGGCCTGCCTCAGCTTCTTGGTGAGCTTCTTCGCTTCCTTTTCCTTCTCAACCTCAGGGTCGACAACCTTCTCAGCCTCGGGCTTCGCGACCTCCTTCTCTTTAATCTCAGCCGGTTTGCCTGCTTCTTTGGGCTCAGCAGAAGCTTCCTTGTCCTCATCTTTCCCATCACCCGCAGCGGCGGCTGCCTTCTTTCTAGCTTCCCTCCGCTTGGCGTTCTTATTCGCAGCTGGACTCGATATGCTGGTTGTATCCTCATTCTTCACCGCCTCGGCACCTGGCACACCCGCCTTTCCTCTGTTGCGGAAGCCCTCAGCAGTGCGATTCTTGTAGAGTTCGACATCTTCGGGTGGGCGGTAGCCTGGGCGGACTCGGATTTCTTTGCGCAGGGTGCCGTCGGGACGGACGGATGCGGGAATATGGCGTTCGCCGGATGCGGACGTGGTGATGCCGGCTTTGGAGATTGCGGGAGTCTCTACTGAAGGCATTGTGTCGGTCGCGCCTGCGGTGAGGTGGAGTGGAGGTAGGGTGCGCCAGAGGATGTCAGGCAGTCGCAACGGGCCGGGGCACACCAATCGTCCTGGTGAGACCTCACCAGGTCTTTTCAGGCGTCAGCGAGGAGATTTGAGGAGTTATCGGTGCGTGTCGCAGAGGTTGAGCTGGTAGCGGTGGTGGGGTTGGAAACAAAGTTCACGTCAAAGCGGAAGGCACGACGGGCCAATTAGCGCAGCGCAAATCCCCGTGACGCGAGAGCTTGAATCTTGTCGACGAACCTCAGCCTTTGACATCGCCAGTGAAGCACCACCACATCCCTCTCCGCAGTCAACCCAGCCCTCTCGACACCTCCAAAATGTCTGGCGTAAGTGAATTGATCGGATAACGTCTTTGAATGCCCGCTAATGGTCCCACGCAGATGATCGGCACCGTCTACAAGCAAGTCACTCCTCGCGCACACCTTCGATCGAACGAGACTAACCATCGCCTGCAGCGCGGTCCTCCGCAGCAACACCACCATGTTGTTCGCCGTCTTCGGCTCCGCCTTCGGTCTCCAACTGTAAGCCACGGCATCCGGAAGAGGAACCTGGGGAAAGGAGAGAGGCTGATAGCAGTGCAGGGCGTTCGACACAGGCTCAGAAAAGATCTGGGACGGTCTCAACCGCGGCGTACGTCAGACTGTTATCGTGGACGTGGCATTCGCTAACACAAGTAACAGCGCCAATGGAAGGACATCAAGCAGCGATACATGGAGGCCGCCGAGGACGACGAGTAGGACTTCAGCCATACCTCAGTTCGAACATGAAATAGACACTTTCTTACGGTTCTTTGGAGCGGACACTGTACATAGTGGTGTATACTACAGCATGCGAAATACCAAGGCACGAAGTGACCTACATCCAATACATGAAGCCCCGTCAACATGATTGCGTTTGATGGTGCGTCATGGAAGTTCTGACTCGTGACAAATGTTTGGTACATGTCGAATAGATGATTCAGCATACAGACAGATCAGGGCTGCATCAAACAGACCACATGCTGCTACCAGTACATGGAGGACCATGATGAGGCTGTCTCGAACAAGGAACAGAGTGAACTTGTGCATTGAATAACTGATGTCTTTCCATGTAACAGCAAGTGACAGAAGACTCAAAGACATTGATTGCCTTTGTCGACCTGCGGGGTTTGCAGTCGGCTGCTTGGTGGCGTCGCGCGTGCCTCGGGGGTCCGCGCTGTTTCACGAGATGATGCTCGCAATGACATAGTAGCGCGCATCTTACACCTGCACCTGCTGCTTTCTCTTACCACACCGAGCCTTCCACCAACCCACGACTCACCCCAGTGGCTGGCCCACAAAACCAGCACTTCGTACTACAAACAACCTCACCGTTGGAGTTCCGTTATTCCCTTCGCCCATCACTCGCGCCCCCCACCATCCCGCCGCGAAAGCTGCACCATGTACATGTCCTTGCACGAGCAAGAACTATGCCGACACCTGCGCGAACTCCCACGGCGACACAACTACCGCTTTGAGCTCGCCGCTGACCGAGAGCTGCGCGAGATTCTCTTCCGCTCTCTTGCTGGCCGCCCCGAATTCCTAGCGCACTTCTTCCCCAATGGGCTTCCCACGGATGCGGAGAAGCCTTGGAGTCTGCGCGACGCCCAAGGTGCCGTAGAAGGCGCCGAATACACACCAGCCGCGAGAGGAAAGCCATGCGGGCATATATTCAAGAACGGCGAGGCTACATACCGGTGTAAGACGTGCAGCGCAGACGACACCTGCGTGCTGTGCGCCCGCTGCTTTGACGCTTCCGACCATGAGGGGCACCAGGTCTTTGTCAGCGTCTCGCCCGGCAACTCTGGCTGCTGCGACTGCGGAGATGACGAGGCCTGGATACGGCCGGTACACTGCAACATCCACTCGATAGACCCTGAGCGCGAGTCCAAGGCTGCAGGCAAGGCGAGAGAGGGTTCCATGCTACCAGACGAACTCGCAGAGACCATTCGCACCACCATTGCACGGACCCTCGACTACCTCATCGACGTCTTCTCCTGCTCCCCGGAGCAACTGCGCCACCCCAAGTCGGAAGAGTCGATCCTCGACGACGAGCGCAAGTCGCGCCTTACCTCACGATGGTACGACCTGGGCGACGAGACAGAGGAATGCGACGAGTTCTGCCTAGTACTGTGGAATGACGAGAAACACACGGTCAACGACGTCAGAGATCAGGTCGCTCGTGCGTGCAAACAGAAGCTGGCGTTCGGCCTGGCAAAGGCCTATGAGATCAACGATGTCGGTCGCAGTGCCATAGTCTACAGGACCGACCTGAAAGACCTCCTTCGTATGGCCAAGATCATCGAGGAAATCAAGCTCACCGTTACCATTCGATCCGCGAGAGACACGTTCCGAGAGCAGATGGGTGGTGTACTCATTGAGTGGATACAGGATATCGCAGGCTGCAGTGTCGGCGAGGACAACCAAATACTTCGCCGCACCGTCTGTGAGGAACTCCTCAAGCCGTGGCGCATTGGCAGCGAAGCATCAAACCAGAGTATCGGCAAGAATGGTCTGGATGATCATGAGATGGAAGACAAGGAAGCTGAAATGGATGGCTTCTTCAACGGCATGCTATTACAACGACGAGCACGTATCATCCGGGTCCAGCGACAGCGAACCACCGACACCAACGACGACACTACAGCCTCTGACGACGACGATGACGACGATGGCGGGCCTGCAGCAGATACCCAAGATGATATGGACATTGACGAGGTCGGCGCTCAGGATAACGATGGCGACGTGGAGATGGAGGCATACGAAAGCGCAGACGAGGCGCTTGAAGTGTCTGAAGCAACAATGGCAGGCTACCCTGCTCCCCCACCACCGCCACCACCACCTGCACACCCGCAGCGTGCTCAACTCGAGCAGAGTGTCACGCCGGCCGAGTCAGATAGTGAGCCTATGGTTGGCGCACCGTCTCTCAGCCATGCCGAGCCGATACTGCCGGTTCCAGAGACGCCTCATACCCGGTCACTACCACTACGGCCAGCGCGGCCAGCCAAATACTGGTTAGAACGGCCTGAAAGTTACGGTAAGAAGCCTGGAACGCCACCTCACGAAGATCTCTGGCAACGTCTCAGGCTTGATCACTTGATATTGTATGATTTGCGCATGTGGAAGCAATTGCGCATCGGTATCCGCGACGTCTTCATCAGCACCGTCGTCACCATTCCTGAGTTCAAGCGCCTCTTAGGTCTACGCTTTGCCGGCGTCTATACTGCTCTCGCACAACTTTACCTCATTGCCGACCGTGAGCCTGACCACTCCATCATCAACCTTTCTCTGCAGATGTTGACAACTCCGTCTATTACGTCCGAGGTTGTCGAACGTGGCAACTTCCTTACAAACCTCATGGCTATTCTCTACACCTTCTTGACTACCCGTCAGGTCGGCTACCCTTCAAATGTCGACCCCAGAGCAACACTAGCTTTCGAGCAGGGGGCTGTGACTAACCGGCGAATGTATCACTTCTTCCTCGATATGAAGTATCTGTTGGGTTCCGAATTCGTCCAGGAGCGAATTCGCGAAGAGCCGCGGTACCTCTTACAGTTCTTAGACCTCGTAAAGCTTCACCAAGGTATCTGTCCTAATGTTCGCCAAGTGGGCGAGCATCTTGAGTTTGAGTCGGAAGCATGGATCAGCGCTTCTCTCATCACCCGAGAAATCAACAAGTTGTGTAGACACTTTGCCGAATCATTTGCCTGGAGCCGCGGTCAGGACCCGTCCAACATCCAGCGTGCTGTTCGTGCAGCCGCCAAGGTAGCCATCATCAATTCTCTAGGCGCTGAACGTAGACGCTTTGACCAGACCGAGCTCAAAGAAGAGACCAGGTTCAAGACGTTGGAGGTCTTTGAATTTGACGCCGAACCCTCTACCTTCTATGGGCCATCGTACAAGGTTGTCGATTACGTTGTCGCGACACAGCCCATGAGCTTCCATCACGCACTTCATTACACTCTATCATGGCTCATTGATCGAGCGCGGAGCATGGATCGGAACGACATCTTGCGCTTGCTTCTATTCTCCCCCAGCGAACTGCAGATGGACTACAACCCGGCGATGGTGTCCATTCCCGTGCATCAACCTGAGGAATACCTATTAGCCATGTTCGACTTTCCCCTCCGAGTGTGCTCATGGCTAGCTCAGATGCGTGCAGGCATTTGGGTCAGAAACGGCATCACATTGCGACATCAGATGACGCAGTATCGAAGTGTATCACAGAGAGACGTGTCGCACCAGCGAGATATCTTCCTCCTACAGTCTGCACTCATCCTTTGCGATCCGTCGGTCTTCCTAGCGTCAATGATCGACCGATTCGGACTAAACGGATGGATGACTGGCAAGTACGAAGCCAGTCACCATGGGTTCGAGGACAGCCAAGCTATTGACGTGGTCGAGGACTTTGTGCATCTGCTCATCATCATTCTCAGCGAGCGCGCATCGTTGATACCTGCGGAGGACAACGATGAGTCTCAATTAGCGTCTATGCGCAAAGACATTGCTCATGTACTGTGCTTCAAGCCACTCTCTTTCTCTGACATGACCGCACGACTGTCAGATCGGATTCAGAATATGGACGAGTTCCCCGCTGTCTTGTCTGAAATGACTAGATTCCGAGCTCCAGAGGGATTATCTGATAGCGGGACTTTCGAACTGAAGGAGGAGTACATCGATTTGGTAGATCCTTACCTTCATCAGTACAACCGCAACCAGAGAGAGGAAGCAGAGAACACATACAAGGCCTACATGGCCAAGAAGACTGGAAAACAAGCTAGCGACATCGTCTATGAGCCGAAGCTCCGCCCGATTCCTTCAGGTCTGTTCCAAGACCTGTCGGCTTTCACCAGAACGCCGTTGTTTACGCAGATCATATACTACCTACTGGCATATGGGTTGAGGGCAGGATCGGCTACACCGAGCATACCAGCCACT